CTGCTCTCAGCCAATACTCCTTGCAAGGGCATTCTGGACTTGGGCTAAAATCATTTTCCTCACTGTAGGTTTGGAAAGAGGGGATGGGCACCCAGATATAGAGGCACCAAATTGCCACAGCAGAATTCTCAAGAATCTCTTGTCATTTTGGAAATAATGCCTTTCTCTTGCATGGAAGTAGGGCTTTGTTGAAATATTAGGGTTTTGGTGTGAGCCAAAGTTACATGAAAGGATTGGAGCAGAAGGAACTGGGAAATGAGGAAGGATAGAACAGCAAATTAAAAGGCTGGGGGAAGACAGGACGTGGGAAGGAGGATGGGACATGGACAGGATGGAAGAATAAACACTTGGAACCAGCTCAGGACCTCTAGGATGGAAATAAATTACAGAATGGAAATTAATATTGGAGTGCAGGAGCAAAAGGGGTTGAACAGACCCACAAGAGGACAAAATTCAGCTGAAGCACGAACAGAGCTGTCAAAGCAGTTGCACCTGATGCTGCAAAACTTGGCACAGTACTTGTACACCTCAGTCATTTTAAGCTGCCTAGCAAAGGGCTGTGAAACCCTCCATCTTTCCCTGGGGAGAGGTCTGCATGCTGCTGTCACTGCCTGGCACAGTCCTTCACTTGCTCACACACCACAGGGTTGTGTTGTGGACCTAAAAACCATGACAGGATGTTTTTCCTCCTGTGATAAAGGGGAGCCTGAAGTCCCTGAAACACATCCACAGCATCTCCCTGGGAAAGGGCATCTGAAAAAACCCCAATGTATTTACATGAGAAATACTTAAGGGATTTCAAAATAAAGGTTTAGAAGTTGCTTATCTGTAGATAGAATTCTGGGGGGAATCCCAAGACAAACACTGTATTTAAGGCACTTTAGGTTAACAGAAGTACTTGAAAGCTAGGAAATATTTGTGTGGAAGTATCTGGTGCAGCCTGTTTAGCCTTCCACTCCTCCATTTACCAGTATTGTCACAAAATCTTCAGTTATACCATTATCTAAGTTTTGCCAGTACAAGAATTTGTCCTCATTCAACACACAGGAAGGACAGCATTCCAGGAATAGTCTGGGTTGATCCAGGGCATGAGACTGTCACCTTCACTTTGTGGAAGTGCACTTTTTCCTCCATCAGCCAGCAGTGGCACAAGCACCCTTTTCAAAGGGCAGCAGGGAGACAGCTCAGGTCCTGGCTGCATGGGGATCTGAGCAACCTGGGCTAGGGGAAGATGTCCCCCCTGCCCATGGCAGGGCTTTGGAATAGGATTTGGAAGGGCCTTTAAGATTTCTTCCAACCCTGGCCATTCTATTATTCTAGTACTGGGATGGAGGTTTTCCCATCAGAGAATATTCAAGGTTACTTCTGTTTCGAGAAAACTGGGATTTTTTTTATCCCTGCTCATTGGTGGTGATGCATGAAATCATTATGGATATGTGGGTATTGTTAGATGCCCAGCCCTCCTCACCTTGTCTGCTTCTTTGAGATCTGCAGTTACACAAACTGAGAATTTTGTATTTTCTTCCCTCTTGGAGTGCAAAACAAATAGGAGAGCCAAGGTTTCGTTGCCCATATGCACTGAAATCAGTGCTCTTTCCTACCCTGAGTGATTGTGGCATTCTGTGAGATGCCATGTTTCAAACACAGGCCTTCACTTGGACTAGAATAAAGAGGCTGAAGGCACTCAGGGATCTGACCATGAGCATTTGATGCTGCAGTAGTTGATTCTCTGATGCTTGGAAGATGTTAATAAACATCCTTCAGGCTTCTCCTGCTTTCTGGTGAGAGTACAAACCAGGAGAACTCCTGTTTCCAAATGGTATGCCTAACAGCTCCAGGGCTCAAGCTAATTCTGCTTCCTCCCCTGTTCAGCACTCTCATTTATAGATTTATGGCTCTGAGTAAGAAGGGAAGTATGAAGTTGGCTGTAATTGGTACTGTGCATAAGTGTAAATTACCATTTCAAATGGGGATGCTCTGCCAGCTATTGCTTTTTTTTTTTTTTCATTTTCCCTGTCTATTGCTCTTTTTAGACTGTGGGGATTTGTTTGATGTGTAGAATATTTTGGCTCCTGAGAAATGATTCCTACCCCAGGGCCTCCAGCCTGTGGGAGGTTCTGTTGTGCCTCCCAGGCTATGCATTAAGGTGCTGATGGATGATTTTAGAGGTGCATTGATCACCAAAATATACTGCAGGTATGGAAGGTGTTTTTCTTGTTCCTCCATTTGATGGGGGTGCGTGTTACAAGATGTCACCTGGGCAAAGCATGTCAAGCTGTTCTGCTGAAGGCCCAGTGCTCAGCCAGCATCCCCAGCATGTCCTGGGTAGCCTTCAGCCCCAAAAGGAGTTCTGGAAAAGGAATATGGAAAGTATTTTGCTACTGGGCTGCAAGCAAGTGAAGAAATTGTAATAAGGTTATAGGGATGAGAAGCTCCATAACTGGGAAAAGTACCTGACTGTGGGAAGCAGAAGATAGGGGGAGCACAGGAGCCATGGAGGAGGGAATTGGAAAGTTCAGGAGATGCTGAGGTGACTGGGAAATGCAGGAAGACAAGAAAGGGGCTAAGAAGTTTTGCATGCCCTAGCTGCAAACCTGGATTCCCACTTGAGATATCTCAGTTTTGGAGTGAGGGTCTCTGGGTTTGGCTTTCCTGAGAAAATGCTACACAGACACAATTTTTTGGCAGCTGCAGTGCTGATCACATCAAATCTTGCAAAAGGGAGCTAAAGGAAATCCAAAGGGTGGCAGTGCTACCCAAAATGCTCAGCCAGTTTTGGGGTGCATCCAAAGGAATGGTTGAAACTGAACTCCTGTGCTGCAGATTGACAGTGCCTGTATGGACCAGGCCTGGAAGGACAATGTCCCTGCAGCCTTGGAGCAGGATGAGAGCCCAGAACTGGGTGTCCTGTGCTAGCCAGAACGATTTCCCCCGTGAATCTCTGATCTCTGAAGGGATTTTTGTGCACCTTGGCATTAATGACCTGTGGGAGGGTGTGGTCATCGTCAACTCTTGAACCATAGCGAGGTGCCAGAGCTGAGCTGGGAGATGTGATCACAGCCACTGCCTCAAAGAGGAGCTGAATGGCACCCTGAGGTGGCACTGGCCTTGTGGTGTTGGCTTCAGAGCCAGCACCCAAATCCCCTCCCAGGGAGCATTGTGGCACAGCAGTGTGGCTTTTGGGGAGCTGTTCTTGTCCTTCCCGACATCTCCAGGTCCTCTTTGCCTGCAGCTCTGCAAACTGTGTGCCATGGAGAGCTGCTGGGCCAGCAGGATCTGCAGGGAGGCGGGATGGGATGGGTTGGGCATTGGTAATGTGAAGCCCAGAGCTGTGGCAGCATGGAATGTCTGTGTGGGCTGGAAAATGGTCCTGTACGCCGTGCTGGAGCTCCATACCCCAATTATGTATAATATGAAACAAAAATACTCTTCCTTGCGTGACAGGCATCTCCCCATAAATGAAAAAATATGTTTTCTTCTGTAATAGTCATCTTCAATGCTAATGAGCAAGAAAGGGAAGGGGATTAAGTGACATTTAATTAATATTCACCTCCATCCTGAGAACAGAGCCAAAGAAAGCAGCCATAATCAGCTGGTCAAAATGTCCAGAGCCTGAACCAGGAATTGCCAGCTAGTTAGGAGGGACTGGGAAGGAGGGAGGCGTAAAAAGGAGAATGTTTTCCTCTCTATCCGTGCTGCTAAGAGATGGTGTAGGCTAAGCACATGGCTTGCAGCCAGCAAAGGCATCAGATGCTGCAATGATAAAAGCCTGGTTAATAACATTTAGCTCCGACAAAGGGCTTTCAAGGGAAAAGACAGACTTTTGTCCTGGGAAGGATGGAAGCAGAGTCACCTGTTAGCCCATCTCCTCTCTTTCAGGAGAAAGTACAATGTCGTGAGTTTCTCTGCGCTTCCAAATGCCGAGCGTGACAGGGATGGGGCAAACCACAGGTTTCTAAAGCCAAAAAGAGCTGGTAGTCTGATTGCTTGTGAAATGCAGATTCTGATTTTGGGAAAACTTAATGCAGGCTATGTGGTGATGGAAAAAAAAAATAAAAAAAAAAAAAAAAAAACAAAACAAACAAAAAAAAACCCACAAGCTCAAGTGTTTGGTATGTGGGAAAAGAGGCAAACTCGATCCATCCCACATAAGGAGAGAAACTGCATTTACCTGCATCTTTCCCCAGATCACCGTGACAGGTTGTCTCCATCTGTGGATGGTCCGATGCCACCGTCGTGCTTGCATCACGGCGATGACATTTATAAATGGAGGTCCGCGAGCCACAGGCATGGAGTGACTGGCTCAAGGTCAACTCCAGCCTGCGGCGGGGACGGGAACAGCAGCGAGGTCAGCCCGGTCCCACGGCCGGGCTCTGAGCCCTGCCCGGAGCCGGCGGCGGGGACAGCCCCCGGCAGGGTTTGCCGGAGGGGACAAGGGCAGGGCTCCGGGGGGGAGAGGTGGGCGAAAGAAGGGTGGCAGCGGTGCCGCCCTTTGGACCAGCTGTTGCGAAACTCCTGGCCGGAGAGCTGATCCCCCGGCGGCTTCCACTCGGGGGTCTCCCCCGAAAAGCCGACGCCCCCGGGCTGGGGCTGCCGCGTCCTCCGCGGCGCGGGGAGAGGTGGGGCGAGCATCCCCCGTGCGCGCATCCGTCTGGAGCGGAGCGTGTCGGCGCTGGCGCGGCGTGCGTGTCTGTGTCTCTGTCTCCGCGCGGTGCCTGTGTGTCTGTGCGTGACCCCGCGGGTGTGTGCGCTCGCACACCGCCCTCTCCGCGTGTCTCCGCGGCTGTGTGTCCCTGCGTGTGCGCGGCGGCGCGGAGCCCAAGCCGCGGCCGGAGGAGGAGCCGCGCCGGGAGCCCCGCGGAGCCGCCGGGCGAGCGCGGCCGCGCCGAGGCGCAACAGGCGGATGGCGGCGGGCGGCGGGCGCTGAAGGCGAGCCGGGGCGAGGCGGAGGGGCAGGGGAGGGCGGGCGAGGAAGGGCAGCGGCGGGCAGAGCGGGCGGGATGCGGGCGGAGGAGCCGCTGGCGCTGGCGGCCCCGCGGGCGGGCGGCGAGGCGGAGGCGGAGGCGCCGGGCGAGGAGCGGAGCGGCGGCAGCTGCTGCAGCAGCGAGCGCCTGGTGATCAACATCTCGGGGCTGCGCTTCGAGACGCAGCTGCGGACCCTCTCCATCTTCCCCGACACGCTGCTGGGGGACCCCAGCCGCCGGGTGCGCTACTTCGACCCGCTCCGCAACGAGTACTTCTTCGACCGCAACCGGCCCAGCTTCGACGCCATCCTCTACTACTACCAGTCCGGGGGGAGGCTGCGCCGGCCGGTCCATGTGCCCCTCGACATCTTCCTGGAGGAGATCCGCTTCTACCAGCTGGGCCAGGAGGCTATCGAGACGTTCCGGGAGGACGAGGGCTTCATCCCGGAGGAGGAGAAGCCCCTGCCCCAGCATCACTTCCAACGCCAGGTCTGGCTGCTCTTTGAGTACCCCGAGAGCTCCGGGCCGGCCCGGGCCATCGCCATTGTCTCCGTGCTGGTCATCCTCATCTCCATCGTCATCTTCTGCCTGGAGACCCTGCCCGAGTTCCGCCAGGAGCCCAAGGGCCCCCAGCCTGGCTTCGGGGAGGCTACGCCGCTCGGGGACGAGGTGCTGCTGCTGCCGCCGCTGCCACCGCCGAGCGGGACCCCCCCGCCCCTGCGTCCCGCCGCCGGCTCCGGCCCGTTCTTCACAGACCCCTTCTTCCTCATCGAGACCCTGTGCATCATCTGGTTCTCCTTTGAGCTCCTCGTGCGCTTCTTCGCCTGCCCCAGCAAGCCCGAGTTCTCCCGCAACATCATGAACATCATCGACATCGTGGCCATCATCCCCTACTTCATCACCCTGGGCACCGAGCTGGCCCAGCAGCAGCAGCAGAAGCAGCAGCCCGGGAGCAGCAGCAACAATGGGGGCCAGCAGCAAGCCATGTCCCTGGCCATCCTCAGAGTCATCCGCCTGGTCAGAGTCTTCAGGATCTTCAAGCTCTCCAGGCACTCCAAGGGGCTGCAGATCTTAGGGAAGACTCTCCAGGCCAGCATGAGGGAGCTGGGCCTCCTCATCTTCTTCCTCTTCATCGGGGTGATCCTCTTCTCCAGCGCTGTCTACTTTGCAGAGACTGACGACCCTGACTCACTGTTCACCAGCATCCCTGATGCTTTCTGGTGGGCTGTGGTGTCCATGACCACTGTGGGCTATGGGGACATGTATCCCATGACCATTGGTGGCAAGATTGTGGGCTCCTTGTGTGCCATCGCGGGTGTGCTCACCATTGCCCTGCCTGTCCCTGTCATCGTGTCCAACTTCAACTACTTCTACCACCGAGAGACTGACCACGAGGAGCAGTGCCAGTACACCCACGTCACCTGTGGCCAGCAGCAGTCACCCTTCTCTGAGCCCAAGAAGGGGGACAGTAATCAGTCCCTCAGCAAATCTGAATTCCTGGAAGCAGAAGACCTGGAGTCCATGAAATATTCCAACTTCATTCCTCCCAATAACCAGGGATATAAAGAGAAGAAAATGCTGACAGAGGTGTGACGGGTTTTGTTGTCCTGGGTCCAGACACGGAGCTGCAAGCTGCTGTTACAGTTGTCTTCCTACAAGCAGCTGGATCTATTCAGCATTTACATGCCAGACTGTGAATTGTGATACCGTAAACAGAATGATTGTGATAATGGGCTCTTCTGGCCTGATGTGCTGTTTCTCATTACTGTGTGCAGCCAGAAATGTTCTTGCTTTATTCCGTGGAGTGCTAGCTGTCATCCCCACTCCCTTGTGCATTTCTTTATCTGCTCTCGATGACTGCTTTAATCCAACATTTGCTCTGAAACCAAGTCTTGTAACTCCACTAGCAGAGAATCCCTTGCCGCTACTTCAGCAGAAGCATTCAGCAGAGTAAACAGTTAAAGGGGCTGCAAACATCTGGCTGGAGCCGTGCCCTCAGTCCCTGTGCCAGCACGGTGCCCTTGGCTGTGGGATCAGTCACGCCTGCCATGCCATTGCCTTTGAATAATGGAAACGCTGCAGCCAGGATCACAGGGAGCTCTGCAGCTGTAGGGGAAAGCCAGCAAGCTGATGCCTGCCTTCTTTGCAACCCTTGGCATGCTAAAAGATCCTCCTGGTTTGTGTTTCAAAAAAAAAGGAAAAAAAGGTGCATAAATCTAAAAGCTCTTTGCTACTTGTGACCATACATCATGTATCAAAAACAGGCTTAAAGCAGTCAACAGGCTTGGTGAAGATTCTCTGTGTTTTGAGCTTATCTCAGCCTTATTTATGCCAGTGCCCTGATGTCAATTGGCTTTTATAGTACCAACTTAATCTTCATAGTGGTAAGTGCCTTCTGATGCAAGGCGTGTTGGAGTGAATTCATTTGTTATCTGCAGAGTTCATCTTCACACAATAGCGTTTAATGAGATGTGCTTTGTGCTTCAGACACCCAGCTCTGTATTCGGGCGTGTGAGAGCAGTTGACTCTGCTGCTTTTTTTAATTGAGCATTTGTGTAGCCGAGGGAAGTTTGCATGTTGGCGTTTTGTTGACATGGCAGGAAAATCCTGACTGCAGAGAGCCCTGCACCTGTGCTGTGCGAGGAGGATCGAGCTGGTTTAGCAAGTCACAGGCACAAAATGCCCCAGGGCGAGCGTGTCAACATTTGAAACTGAGACTGGCACGGATACAAACTTCCCTAAGCTATCTGCACAAAGCCAGCAGCGTCCTCCAGACCCTTTGAATGAGGGGAGAAACAGCGAGCCCTGAAGAGATGCTTTTGCTGTGTTGCTGGCCTAGCCAGTTCCTGGTATTCCATGGATAGGAGGGACAGCAGTGTTTTTTGCACTTCGTTTTGTGAGAGCAGTTTGTGCCAGCCATGCAAAATATGCACAGCTTGGCCTGCAGTGCCGGGTTTGCCAAGGGACCAGAGATTTCTATCTTCAAATACACATTTTGCTTCCCAGAGCATTTCATTAGTTTCAGTCAGCTCTGCCTTACAGCTAACTTGAAAAATGTTTCAAGCTCTGCCAGCAGGTGAGAAAGGGAAATGGATGCTTTCAGGTTCCACTGGCAGATTTTCCTGCAAGGAAAAGTCCTTCTTGTTTGAATTCTAAGTGTTTATTCTGCATTCACACGTCTGCATGTGTATGAAAGCAAAGGCAGCCATTAATGCCTTGCATCACACTGTATGAAATGCATATTGAAATGTACTACATATTGCATGGGACATGTGTGATACATAAACCAGACATAATGCCAAGGTGCAAAAGTACAGAGAATAGATTTTGTGTATATATTGTGCTTTTCAAGCCATAAGACTAAGAATGCTAAAGTCCTAGAATAGCATCATAGAATGACCTGGGTTGGAAGGGACCTTAAGGGTCACCTCTTTCCAAAGAGGGGCACTTTCCAATAGACCAGGTTGCTCAGAGCCCTGTCCTTTAATATAGTTAAAACTGGCTATAGAACAGGTTGTGAGATAGGATCTGTTTGCATCTTTATTACTGTGCCTGTTTTCAATTGTCTTGAGATATGGCTCCATGCCTAGAGTGCTTTTCTTATGGCCTCTCTCCATCCTGGCCCTGCTCATATGGTAGAAGTTGTTTGTGCAAATCATAGCTACTCCATTTCTCCTGAGTCCTGTTGCCTTCTGAAATGTTTTTGATGTGCAGGGATCTCCCTTGGGGTTAGCACACAACCATTATATTAAAACCTCTGCTCTCTCTCTTGCTGAAATCAGTAGGAAAATGCCACTTGTCTCAGTCTGGGTGATTGAGATGAATTTGATGTGGTGAGGGCTCATAGCTCAGAGGGGTCTGCCTGAATAAAGCCTAATTTCTCTTTGCTTCATGGGACTGAGGCAAAAGTTTGTGAAGGTCTGAGCCTTGGGGACCATTCTGCATCCCTTGGTGTGTGTAACCAGCTGGTGGGTAAATTGTCCTGGTGAATAAGTGGAACTGAGGGGCACGGTGGTATCTCTGTTGATTTTGTATAAAAGTTGTCCAGTTCTTAGTGTGTCTTAGTCTTGGTGGTGTTCTTAGCTGTGTTTCGGGGTCACCTTAATGAAATCTTTACTGTGACCCAAGAGAGGGACTGTTCTTCAAATTTTGTGTTGCTAGAAACTAGCAAAAGAAGCTGCTGTTTAAGAGGGATGTTCCGAGGCTGCTGCCCTCTCCCAGCAGAATGCCCATGTTTGGGGATATTTTATGCCTGAGTCTATCAGCTGATAAAAGTTCCCCCAAATTAAGATATAAAAAACTCAGGTTGAACACAAGTTCAGGAGGAGTCATGAGACACGCTGAGCCTACGTCAGAAAAATTCCTGTGCTCATTTCTCCCCCTGGGCCTGGCCCTGTTGGCCCTGCCCAGAACAGGTTGTTCTCCTGACCAGCACGACAGAGAGCTGGGCATAGAGACTCCAGCAAGAAAAAAAGATCACTGGTAGCACAATCTTACACAGATCCTCTTGCAAAGAGGTGTCCTGCCTTGGGGTGGGATCCATCAGTGAGTTTCCAGGTGGAATGCAGCAGTGAGTTCCTAGTGGGTATTGGAATCTCCTGCCTGCAGGTCACACCCGAGGTGTGAAGGAATTTTATGGTAAGCAAGGCAGCTCTGTGCAGTTTTTGTGAGCCACTTTTGTCAGTTCTGAAAAGTGCAGATGAAAATGTGTAAAGTAGGAGCGGTGTTTGTTCCCTGGGTTTTCTGTGTTTGCTCTGAGAGATACAGAACCCCAAATACAGAACACCAACAGAAGCATGGAAACTGTAACCTTGGGACTCATTTGGGGCACGTAAATCCTTCTCTAAGCACCTCCTGAAAAGCAGTGAAGTCCCAGAGTCATCAGTAATGCTATAGGTTACAGAACTTGTGGAATCTGACCTTTTTCAAGGAGCCTTCAGATTTTTTTTTTTTCTCTTGACCGAAATGACACAGTGGCACCCATTGACTTTACCAGAGGTCTCGTGCCACCGAATCACGGAGATGCTTTCAAAAAGCTTACCTCAAGCTCTCAGCCCTCAGCACTCCCCCCAGCTGCTCAAAATGCAAATCTTTCCTTCTGAAGGTAGAGCACATCCCTGTGAAGCCAAGTAGGCACCTCCAGGGACCTGTTTCCATAACAACCTCCCGGACTGTTTCTCTCCATGCTGTGATTGTGGCTACAAGTGAAAGCACTCTTTGGATATTTTGTATTCAGACATCAGCACCTTATTTTTACAGATGTTTTCCTTGCCTACTAGAGCTGATCCCATCACCTTATGTTGTGTACAGCTGCCCTGTCCAATTTCAGGTGGGCAATCTCCAGCTTTTACAAGCAGGGAGTGCAAACCTGGAGATGGGAAGAGATTTTATATGTCCATTCTTGCACACAGAGAGCTGGAGAGTGTGTGAAGGACAATTGGAGCTGAGGGGCAACTGGCCTGTGAATTCAAAGTCATCTGGGTGCTTGGTGGCAAGGAATATAAGCTAAAGCGTTACATTAAAGACCCAGAAATTCCTCTTGCAGCAATCTCACTAGGAAATAGTTTTGCAGTGGAAGAGACTATTGCTCCTTCCTGATCCCCTGGCTGGTTTGTGATGGTTGGTTCTCCTGATAGTTTTCCCACAGGATGTTTTGCACCAAAGCAGGCAGGGTAGAAATCAACTCCTTGGAGGTGGGTAAGAAAGGAAGGAAAGGAAGAATTTTACTGAGGATACCATTTTTTTATCCACACAAAGGACTGGAAGCATGAAGGGTGTGAAGACCTGTTCTGTGGTGTTTTACTGTTGGACTCCTGCTCTCACCTCCAAGATGAAATTCCTGTTCTGCTCCTTCTTGGAAAATGTTGGAATTTGGGATTTTTGAGTAGTCTCCTGTTTGAGCCTTTTGATCCAGCTTTCATGGATAAAAATTCACTGCTACAGCAGCTGTGGGGGTGAAGGTGACTGGACTTGATCTTCTCTCCTGGCTCCTCTCATTCAGAGGTCCCTATGGGATAAAGAAGAGTGAGTGTAAAGAAAATTCAGGGCAGCAAGTGACAGGGTGAGGACTGAAGTGTCTTCCACATGGTGATGGAAAGAACAGCATCAACCCTAAATGCAAAGGAACAAACAGCTCCAGCATCTGCTGCTATTGCAGAAATAGGTAAGGTTTCTTTTTGTTCTGGGAAATTAATGACCAAGAGTTTCTTGAAATTAATGAGGAAAGATTTCCTCATTAAGATTTGCAGCCTAAAGGGAGAATCTGGTTCTAGGTGAAGAAAGAAAGATAATTATAAACTACAAAAATGTAATATGAGCCAGATCCTCACCATCTGCTGATTCAAGCTGGCAAAACTCCTTTTAATACAACTACCTTGGATTATATTGGGTTCCAACTTCAATCTTCTGCATCAAATCCAAGCACGTGCACTGTTTGATAAACTGCTTCTTTTTGTTTGTTCTTTTCTTGAGGTCCTGTTGCCATCAGGGAAAGATCTGCAGATTACAGCAGGAGTCAATCACAGCTTTCCCAAAAGCTCTCACCTGACTCGAGTCCAAGTAAGTCCTACCAAACTTGGCAGACCTAAGCTTAACTTTAAGTTTTTATTGACAGAAATTAAGAGCAGCAGCATTTTATGCATTTATTTCTCAGTGTGGGCAGATTGACGGGGAATTGGAAGATTCTGCCCTCCGTGGCAGCCCTGTGAGCACAAGAGAGATCTGCTGGTGCTGCTGTAACCACGAGCACAGCCCTGAGCCCTTCATCGTGGCTCTTTGAAGCTTGCACTAGTGGCAGATCCCTCCTGAAGAGCTTTGCAGCCATGTTATCAGCAGGTTTGCAGGAGAATGCCTGAATTGCAGGCACCTGCTTCAGCCGTAAGGAGGGGAGAGGGTGCTGGCAGGATGAAAAGACTTTAATCCCCTGATGAAAGGGACCAGGGGATGCTTCGTGTCCTTAGCTGCCACCAAAGACTGTGCCTGAGGAAACTGCCTGCCAGTTTCAAGGAGCTCCTCTTGTTCAGGCTGGGGTCCTACAAGACCCTACCCAGGGAAATAAATCCAGAAAAATGTTTTTGGGGAAAGCAGACAGGGACTGTGCTAACTGACAGTGCAGCAGATGCTGTTAGTACATGTTAATTCCACATGCTTTTCCCTCTTTGAGTGGGTTTTCCCTTGCCTGTCTGGGGCTTGTTGGCTGGCACAAGGAGTTTGAATGTCATAACATGGCTTTACATTTTGGGAAACTCATAGCTGAGGTCAGTGTGTGTTTTATGAACATTCAATGATAAACCCTCACCACTGGAAATATCCAGGTTGTCTGTAGTGCCAATCAATAGGATGGAGCCTGAGAAATAATTGAGCTTTGCTGTGTAAAACTTCTTAGTGATAGGAAAGAAAGGATTTGCGGTAGGGAATGTGCTTATCAATTTCCATAGTCACCATAAATACTGAAGCTGTGTTGAGTATTCATTGGAGAGAAGAACTGGGGGAAACCTTTGTCTTCACACAAAGAAAACTGAGCAAGTATTTCTTGTCACTAAATTAATATAAAGATATTTATTCAGTGGTATAAAATTTTGGAACACCCTTAGTCCAAAAGTGGCGTAAGTCACAAATTTATTGATTTAATTACCAAATCTAGTCATTGTCCGTTTAACAAAATGAATGGCCTCGATTCTACTCTCTCCCCAAGGTTAGATAAATGTTTCCTTAAGATTGTGGATGGTATGACTCCTGATTTAAATGAATCTGAGAGAAGAATCAGAAAGAAGAAGGCTATAAGTGCACATGACTAGGCTGGATCTCTTTAGAGTGCTGTAGGTGCCCATTGGTCCATTCACCTAAAAGGTTACATACAATTTTACACCAACAAAAGGTTTGGCTTTTAGAGTACATATTGGTTTATTCTCTTACATTCTCTGGAGGGAAATTAAATGGTATTTTACAAGAAAACTGGAACATTACCATCCCTTCTTGCTGCTCCTTGATGCATCTGTTGTTTTCAATTAGCTTGATGGCATCCATTTTCAGAAAGCAGATGCTGCCCTCTTTTACACTGGTGCAATTCTGGAATAACTCCGCTGACGTCAGTGAAGTGACTCCAAATTTATCCACGGCAAAAGCAGAATTGGACCGCGGTCTCTTTGTCTGCCTCTCTGCTCCAGAGCTCTGGGGGAGTTGTGCCACTGCCACACCATAAGGTGAGAGCGAGTTTGCTGTGCTGTGCTTGGCATTTTTGTGCCCCTGGCACTCCCACTCACGTGCCTGGCTGGAACAGGAGCCCCCCTGGCCTGGGGCATGCATGGCCACTAAATTCCTGCTGCTGCCTCTGGATTCCTGACCACTCTCCATCTTAGTTTCCTCTTGCCTGGAGATGTTTCCCAAGGAGACAGAGGTTTTTAAGCTGAAGAAATGTAGTTGCCATCCTCGAGTAATAGAACAACAGAAGGGTGGCAGAGGTAGATTTGGAGACGAGCTCTGCACCTCCTACATTTTTGCTGATAGGGCTGTGTGAAAATCATTTCAGTCCTGGTAGGTTGGCTCTACATCTGCTGGTTTCAAAGTCTCCATTTACAGGGAGACTAGGTTGGAAAAAATGGGACTTTCCTGCTCTAACTCTTCTGGTCTCAGTCCTGCCTTCCCTGAAACTGGACAGAGAGCTTTGTGTAAAATCACCTTTAAAAGTTTGCCATAAGGGAAAATACCACTGGAGATGGGACAGATGAGGGCGAGTAGAAGGAATAGTTGTGGAGTCATGGAATGTCCAGGGTTAGGAAGGGCTTTAAAGACCATCTCATTCCAACCCCCTGCTATGAGCAGGGACATCTTTATTGCTCAGAGCCCTACCCAGTCTGGTCTTGAATATATCCAAGGATGGGGCAGTTACAGCTGCTCTGGGAAACCTGTTCCAAGGCCTCACTACCCTCACAGGGAAGAATTTCTTCCCAATATGCAATCCAACCCTCCTCTCTGTCAGTGTGAAGCCATTCCCCTTGTCCTGTCACTCCAGGCCCATGTCCAGAGTCTCTCTCCATCTTCCCTGTGGGTTCCCTTCAGGCACTGCAAGGCCACAGTGAGGTCACCCCAAAGCCTTCTCCTCTCCAGGCTGAACAATCCCAGTTCCCTCAGCCTTTCCTCCCAGCAGAGCTGCTCCATCCCTCTGCTCCCCTTGGTGTCCCTGCTCTGGTCAGGCAGATAATGCAGCCATAAAAACTGAGGTACAAGTCTTGGAAAATCTCAGGACAAGCATGTTTGGTAACACCTGGCAAATAATAATTCTGTAAGGCCTCATCTGGAATGCTGTGTGCATTGTTGGTGACCTAAATTTGGTCAGGCAAGATGCACAGGAGAACAGCAAGAGTGATCAGGTGGATGGAAAGTGCTTTGCTAGTGGAAGCTGGAAGAGCCTGACTTTTCTAGGCCAGCAAAAGACTGACAAGACCTGTAGTTAGGAAAGTACTGGGGCAAAATAACTAAAAGAGAGGAAAAAGATGAGAAACTGTAAGCTCTTCCCACATTTCTTGTGTCTCCAGATCATTTGCCATACTGCACGTTTACCTACAAAAGACCAAATCCTGGTGATTTTACTATTAAATACTTGGGGTTTGTGGGTAGGAGGGAGAGCTAGGAGAGGAACTGTGAATCTTGGGAGGTTTTTCCTCTGTGGGACTGAGGAGAGAGAAGGAAGTCCTAGGAGTGTGGTAGAATGGCACAGGGGATACCATATCTCTCAAGGAGCTGGTCTGGAGGCAGAGAGCAAATTCACGCCCTTTAAAAAACCCACCAAACTCTGTTCACTGCTCTTCCCCTCAGCCTGGAATGGCTGCTCACCTTGTCCAGTCCTTTCTCCCTATTCAGGGCTCTCCAGCTCTTTGCTGACCTTCCTTCTTCCTGGAATCTCTGGTCATTCCTCACTCCCATGAGCTCCCTGCAATCATTGGAACAGTGCATTGCAATTCATGCTGGGGAAAGCCTTGAACCAGCTCTGCTGCAGCTCAGATAGATTGTCTGATTTGAACAACCTGCTAGATAATCAGATAATAGATAATAGATAATAGATTATATATTATAGATTATAGATTATCTAGCAACCTGCCCTGGTGGAAGGTGTTCCTGCCCCTCTGGCAGGAGGGTTGGAATGAGGAGATCTTCAAGGTCCTTTCCAACCCAAACCAGTCTGTGATTCCATGTTTTTTTGTAGAAATAAGCAGTGCTGCTCACAGAATCATTAAGATTGGAAAATACCTCCAAGATCATCAAGCTTTCAGTGGAATACCACAATGCCCAGAAAACCATATCATGAAGTGCTATGTCCACTCGTTCTTTGAATAGTTCCAGGGCTGGTGACTCCAGCGCTTCCTTGGGCAGTCTGTTCTAATGCTTAACTACTCTTTCAGTAAAATTTTTTTCTTAATATCCAACCTGAACCTTCTCTGATGTGACTTCAGGACCTTTCCTGTTGTCCTGTCCCTTGTTCCCCTGGAGAAGAGGCTGATTCTCACTTGGGCTCACCCTCCTGTCAGGGAATTTTGGGGAGCAGCACTGTTGGGTATGAGGTCAGAGCAGTCGATCCACTCTGGTCTTAAGAGAAGAGCAGAAGAATTTCCTATTGCACACACTGTTCTGACATAGCACGAACAAAACTTGACATTTCCTATCTTACCTCTCTCAAATTGTTTCCCCACATAGAGGTGAAGGTTCCCTTAAGCTCAGGAGGCAGCAAAAATATTGACTGAGGTGGGAGCTTCATCCATTCAGCCAGCTGTGTCACAGAAGTGCCAGGAAGGAGCTTTCCTTGAGCTTGTTGATGCTCTTTGTTCACTTCAGTGAGGAAACCTTTGTCTTGTCATTTCCATCGCTATTTTGGCCAACCAGCTCTGCTCTTTTGCTTTTCTCATGTGAGTAGAAAGATGGTGAAGGGCCTGGAGGGGAAGCCACACGAGGAGCAGCTGAGAGGACTTGGTGTTTTCAGCTGGAGGAGAGCAGACTCTGTGAGGTCAGAGCTCACAGCAGATTCCTCAAGGGGAAGAGGAGGGGCAGCTCTGATCTCTGCTCTGTGTGACCAGGGAGAGACCCAGGCCATGGCTGGAGCTGTGTCAGGACAGGGTTAGGGTGGATATCAGGGAAAGTTTCATCCCCCAGAGGGTGCTGGGGCACTGAACAGGCCCCCCAGGGAATGGTCACAGCCCCAAGGCTGCCAGAGCTCCAGGACTGGGGTGGGATTGTTGGGGTGTCCTGGGCAGGACCAGAAACTCGACTTGATGATCCTTGTAGGTCATGTCCAACTCAGGGTACTCTATGATTCTGTGATTCCATGAGGAAAAAAAGAAAAAGCCAGGCACTGGAAATGTTGTGAATATCCATGCACATCACAAAAGCCTGTGAATGTGGACACCACTTGTGCTCTATCAGTGGCGTTGGCAGGATGGTGCACATGAATCTGGTGGTCCCTAAAGTGTCTTAAGAACCTGTCCCAAGCCCTTGGCATCATTTGAGTCATGGCAACAAGCCACATGAGAAAGGAGTTGTAAGAAATACTGAGTAAGGCAAGGAGTTTGATTTGAACCATGGACACAAGGGTTCATTTATTTCTGATCTCAATTTACTCCCAGAGTTATGGAATGGTCCAAGCAGGGTGTAGTTCTCAGGCTTTGAATTATTCTCACATTTTAGCGTGTCAGAAATAGCTCTGTCTGGCACATTCCTATGAGAACTGTAGACTATGGCCTTTCATGCTTATGACAAAGCAATTGATCTTTGTGGTCTGTCCTTGGAAATGACTTCCAGAAATATTTTGGAGAGTATTCACAGCTCCATTAGTCTGGTATTTGATGATCTGCTACGGTTTTCAACAGTGGACTGCAAACATTTCTCTAGGATGTATTTTCCTCAAAATCAGCAGTATTCCCCTTCCTCAAAATCAATCAATATTTGGGAGAGCAGTTTCATTTTAGTTCATTTTGGTACTCTTTACAAAAGGCATGTTTGGAAAATTTTGTAACATGCACGTTCTTTGTTAATATTCTAAATATTTTTCATTTCTTTTAAAGAAAGTGCATGTAAACAAGGAAAAATACAAAATTTTGCTGTGTTTTCTTAGTTTGTTTGGTTTTGTTTATTTTGTTGGGGTTTTTTTGGTGTTTTTTTGTTTGTTTGGGGTTTTGTTTGGTTTTTCTTTCTAACTTTGATCTGGAATGAAATATATTACATAGATTTGGGGTTTGTGGGGTTTATTTCCTTTTGGAAGGAAGGGGATTATCCTTGGTTTAGGGGACTTTATTTTTAATAAACTCTTTTTTTAAGCAGTGTAGTGATAAGTGTTGGTTGTTCCTGTTCATTGCCAGTGTGGCTCCAGTGTCAGCTCCAATACTTCCTTGAATTCAGCTAGGTGATACTCAAATGCTGCAGAAGAGGTGGAATGACAGCCCAAAACTCATTGGTAATTACAACATGTATTCCCAGTGACAGAAGGGATGTTCCAGTGCTTTGGCTATGGCTGAGCCAAGCCAAGTGTTCTTTTCTGTAGCTGCAACACCTGCCCAGGTGAGAAAGTTGTTTTTTTTTGACGAGACCAAGCTGCTTTTCCAGTGCTGTCTGACTTGTTAGAACATGTCATTCTGAATTGTGAACTCCTCCTGTTCCCACTCAGCTGGATCTTTTTACACCAAGATTATGTGATAAGAAAAAAAAAATTTTAAAATCTACATAAAGCTTAAATTTTTACTAAAATTTTCTGGGTGAATTGAGAATGGAAGGAAGAAGTGCTATCTGCAGAGGACTGTTCCTTTACTTTTTTCTTGTTTTAAAAAAGAAAAAAATAAACCAAACCTGTGCAGATTAGTGAGTTGCCACTAACACTTAGCTAAGGGGATTTCAGAGGAGATGAGCTGGGAGTTCCTTGCACAGTAACCACTAATCAGCATCCCCATAGAAGATGTCTGAATACATATTGATCGAGCCAGCTGCAGCTGGGAGGGGTTCTGGAGGCTGATGCAGCTTTCCTCTCTATCCTCCATCCCCAATCATGGAAACTGTATAGAAAAACTGTATAGAAAAAAAACCACCCACTGGTACTTCTGGCCCTGGCATTTCTGCTTGTTGAAGTTGCATCACAAGAGGTTGTGTGGGCTTTTTTGATAGTTAAGAGACTGCTTAGGAAGGGAGATGATTGTCCCTCACATCTCAGTGCCTCAGCAATAAT